ACACACACACACACACACACACACACACACACACATGCATATGTATATGTTTGATATATTAAAATTAATTATAATAATAAACATAATAATTATGATATATGATATGATATATGACATGATATGATATAATAATTTGACAATATATTTCCCCTATGACATTAACAGATGGTCCAGTTAAACAGAAGCCAGGGGTTTGTCCAATCGATCGCTGTAGATGCACTGGTCCTCAGCCTAATGAGTGCTGGAGAGATTATGGTTGTGAAAAAAAGAAGAAATGTTGTTATTCTTGTTGTGCAATGCGCTGTGTGGACCCAAAATAAGAAGCTCCAGGATTCAGGTAGTACTTTCTTCTCAAGGATACACTGGATTCGATATTATCATGGTCTTGATGAAAAAGGAAATATCCTCCATGCTCCCTTCCCTTTAGCCCTGTAGCCTAATCTTCTCCCCATTCTTTCCCTTCTTTCTTTCTTGGGTGAATACAGTTATTGCTTTCACTTCAGTTGCCTTTGAGTTCTTTGCTTCAGATTAGCTACCAGAAACTTTGATCAGCCACATGCAAACCTAATTTGCTGGCATTGTTATACTTCATCAATCTTTCTGTAGTAACTGGTCCTTAACGCTTATTTTAAATTCTTCAGCCATCCATTGACAACTAGGGTTCCTCCCACCTAGGCTGACAGAAGTTTTTGTTTATTTTATAATTTGGTTGCTTCCTTGAGGTTGTCTCCAGCAAAATGTTGAACTAGTTTGCTAATGAGAAACATAGATGCTAGTTTATTACTATTATATTGTCAAGTTTAATATTTAATTTGTAATCCATTAACAGGCTTCTCCATTGATGAAAGTGGTTTGGCAACTCCATGTACAACTTTTTTGCAACATCCTTCTGATCCCTTCATCAGCCTCAGAAGTGTTTCTTGATCAAGAGATGAAAACAGCAAGATATTACTACACTGTTTTACTCCTGGTTATTTCGAGAAATTTTCTTTCTTCATTTCTTTTTTCTTTCCTTCCTTTTGGTGGGTACAGCTTATTATAATGATAATGAAATATTATGGAAAAATAAGGAAAGATGATTCATCTTAATGGAAATTGTTGTTTCTGTATTATAAATAAAATTAGCACCTCAAATTTCAGTTTTTAGTTCTTTATTTACCTACAGAATACATCTTGGTAATCTCTGGTAGACAAAATTTAATTACAATATTTCCCCTAAGAAAAAAAAAACTATCCATGGCAGAGTAGATTCCACTAAACTGTGAGCTTGGTCTCATATTTTGGTATCACCAAGATTATTACAGATTATTAGTGATTAGTGATTATTGATTAGATTGATTAGCTGATTTATTGTTTGATTGATTAGTGTGATTAGTGTGTTCAATACAAATAATGTGATTACCAATTAGTGTAAATGATCAGTGATTAGTGTAATTTAATTTGGTAAAATTAGTGATTAGTGCAATTTATTGACTAGTGTGATTGGTGATTAGTGTAATTAATTGATTAGGGTTATTGTTGATTAGTTAAATTAATTGACTAGTGTGATTAGTGTAATTGATTGATTGGTGTGATATTGCCTATATCAATTACCCTAATATCTTGTTTGATTGAACAATTTAATCAACGAACCATCTCAACCAACCCCCCTGGAAAACAATCCAATGCCAAACCACAACCCAAAAAGAAAGAAATCCCCACCAATGAACCACAAGACTCCTGCATATGCCTTATATGTAAAGAAACTTTAAAGGAGAATGAAGATTCCAACAAATGTTCTTTATGTGACAACTAAGCTCATCATAGATGCTTAGGATTATCCAAGCAAATGGCTCAATTCCTAAAATCATGCACTCCTGCGTTTCCATATTTCTGCCCACCATGCAGACCCAAACTGGACAAATATATTGCCCTGTTTGAAAGAGTTGATACCACAGAAACATGAATAACATCCCATGACACCATAGTAGCAAGACCTACAACTTACATCCCAATAACCATCACCACAACATCCAACATTAGGCATGCATGCCTCTTATTTCCTCCAGACCCACTACTACATATCTTAAATGCAAACTACTCAATGAAAGAAGCCTCACAAACAAAATGCATGAATTCCTCACCTTACTAAGCATGGCCACATTCAACATTATATTTGTCTGTGAGACGTGGTTGAATGCATCTTTTCCAGACTCCATTACCACAGTAAGAGAATGTCACATTTATTGGTCAGATCGCAAAATCCGTAGAAAAGGTGAAGTTGCTATCTTCTATAAAAAGTCCCTAAATCTAAAAAATATTCAAATTACACAGGAGCTTGTTTTGAACTGTCCTTAAATACCAAAATCCACTTCTTACTATGTGCTACAGAGCCCCTGATTATGACATAGTTCATGCAAACAAGCTAACTTCACTGCTAATGTGGGCTGCCTCTTGCCCATACCCTCTTATTTTCCTTGGTGACCTCAATCTACCTCTTATAAATTAGACCCTAAATGAATGTACATCCGAACCCATACATGCAATCCTGTACAATGCCATTACTACACTACTGGGACTGGATCAATTAGTAACAAAGAACACTAGACTCAGCAACTGCCTTGACCTCATATTCTGCAACAGCTCAAACTCAATTTTTTTTTGTAGAAGTTTTATTTGGGTTTTCACAAAACATAATGAAAATAAAACATCTTTTTTTGAGAACAGCATGATTCCAGGTTATCACATCTCCATACAGACATAATCTCAGTTACATATTCATCTTATATATTCAATTTCATATCGTGTCACTATTTTATCAATTTCTCAATAATTTTTCTTTTCCCTTACTTTCCTCAACCTTATTTTATGATTGTCTCATTCCTTTCTAATTCAATTACATATCTTTTTCTAAATTTCTATATCTTTCTAGTCATTATACTTTTATCTGTCCTGTTTACAATTTCATCTATTCTTTTTCCATCATCATCCCGAAAGGGAAAGGAAAAAGGATAATTCCCTCCCCTTCCAGGCATTAAAAAGCAAGATTTCCCCTATGATTACCAAGTAGTGTGTGACATTTAAATCTTATAGTTATTATCCTTTCAAATCTCATTAATTTATACATTATACAATTATAACATTCAGTTTCTAATATCTATTTTATATCATATAACTCTTATCAACAGAATTCCGCTTGGTACTTCCCCTTAAGAATACACATTAAATTCTAAAAAAAGAAAAAATATATATAAATAATGAATGAAATGGTTATTCTATTCAAACTCATCCTGGCAACTGATATTAGTAAGCATTCTATTACATAACAATACCAGTTTGTCTTTCACTTTAATCACCTGTTTCATATTTTCTAGCTCATTACTGTTTCTAATATAACAACACTATCTCTTGTACCCTTGCAGAATCCTCTCTTTTAATTTATATTTTTAACCATTATCTCTATGTCTTTTAAGTAGGCTAATACCTTTAATTCTTCTACATTTCCCCTGTTTCTTTATTTCCTGTTTCTGTCCCTTATAACTTCTTTCCCTTTTTATCTTTCCCCTCTTTTTCTCACCACCCTTTTTGTCCCCCCCTCTCTCTGATTCTCCCTTCTGTAATCCTCTCTTCTGCTTCTTCCTAATGTTATGTTTACTTTTCAAACTATTCTTTTTTTTGTTGTTTCCTCAAATCTTGAATTTTGACTCCTTTTCCCCCTTTTCCCATTTTACCCCATGTTGCATTGTTTGATCATTAAAGATGCCTTCTAGTTTGTCCAACCCTTCTTGTTCTTCAAGCGTTTCTTGTTGTTTTTCATAGTTCAAAATCTCCATTTCTAAGAATTGAAGTGTGAAGCCAAAGGATCCTCCTCCCTCTTGCGACTCTTCTTTCATTTTTTTAAGTTCCATTTTTAATTCCTCAAGGAGTACTGCCATTTTAAACACTTTTAAACAACCACCCGATTAATTTTAATTCAAACCACTAAAAATCCAACACCCAAAATTCCAAAAATCACCAAGTAATCCAAAACTGTTTCTTCTTGCTTCTTTCTGCCACTTTTCCTTCCCGGGGGCTCTGTTATCTTTTAACAAAGTTTCAGTTACAATATATCCTTTGGAAGTCTTTTTAAAGTTTCACTGTTAATTCCTTTTATTTCCAGGTGGCACTCTCTGTTATTCCCAAGTTCCACCCTTTCTTTTTTCCCTCCACTTTCCTCCTTTGAAGGCTTTAGAGTATCCAGAAAATCTTTATTTTCCCTTTGACACTTTAATTTCAGCTTAAAATTGCCTGTTAGAATCAAAGTCAATTAATACAAATTTCTTACTTAAATTTCTTCTTTTTAACATTCAAAGCTGATTGTAACTGTCAATATGAGAAAGAAAAAAATTCTTTTTTCCTTTTCCCCTCTCTTCCGCCACTTTAAAAATCTTTTAGGAAGAACACTTTTAATATTTTTAGTTCCAGGGTACCTTGGATAGATGGTGTCTCTGCTTAGCCTGGTCTGTCAAGCTCTCCCCTTTGTCTTCCCTCCTGCTCAATCTTGTCCAATCAGGTTCCTCTTTGAGGTGGTCATTTCTGACCACTGCTGCAACCGCTTTTGGGAAAGGGAGTAATGGCCATCCGAGGAGGAGAGATGCCATTCCCCTCAACTCAGCTGGCAGTCTCCACCCTCTTTGCCACCTCTACGGGGTGGCTTCAGCCCCGAATCCAAAAGATTGGGGCACTCCATGGGCAAGCATGGATCGATCATGGATTTCAATCCATCGCCAAAGAAGCCCAAACCAGAAGTCCACTCAAACTCAATTTATGGCCTACAAATACAAGAACCCTTTTCAAACAGTGACTACAGCATGACTGACTTTTGTGTCAATTTACAGTCTCACAAAGAGGATCATAATGATGGTTCCCCAAAATACAGTTTCAAAAAAGCCAACTATGATCTCATAGCTGCCAACCTATCATCTCTTGATTGGCATATTCTGTTTTCTGACAGAAGACCATTATAACACATTCTTGCTTGAACTCGAAGGAGTCATTAAACTATATGTACTATAAGTAACCCCCCAAAAAAAGCAAATTACCCATAGCAATAAGAAAATTTCAATAAAAAATCGCTATGGCAAAAAGACAAAAAATCGCTATGGCAAAAAGACAAAAGCAGGTACAACTTTAAAAACAGATACAATACCTTATGCCAACAGATAAAGGCAGAATGCACCAATTACCACTGCAAGCAAGAGGAAAGCCTCCTACACATAAAATCTACCTGCACCTTCTACAATTTTGTAAACACAAAATGTTAAAGACTCAAGGACCTTCCCACCCCTAAAAGGACCAAATGTAGCTGTCAAGGCCAACCTCTTCAACATGTTCTTCAGTTCATTCTTTGTAAACAGCAATGGCTCATGCCCCACATTTCCTAGTCGTACCACAACAAACTGCAATGATCTACTACATATTGACTTTATAGGTCCATGAAAGTTTGCTTTTATCCTTGGGAAATGTTATGTATTCCAAACTGGATTGCATTTGGGAAATTCTGAATGTTATTACCAGAATAAATATGGGAACTATTAACTACAAGAGCTTTACTATGTTGTTTCGTTCTTCCAATTGGACCTCACATTTCAAAGTAGGAAACAAGAATTACTTTGCTTGAGTTGTTGAACAGGAAAGGAAAAGGACAAGATATTGCTAATGGTTTGAAAGTGAAATGAGCTAACCACATTATTGTTGCAAGAAACTATTGGTTAACCACAAACTGACAAGAGAGCTAATTAGGGAAAAAAAGCCATGGTATATTCATGCCCCAAAGCAAAGGCAAACATAAAGATTGCACATTTCAGCTCAGCTGTTAAAAAGCAAAAACATTACCAGTATCCTAATAACTTGGAATGTAAAGAAATGCAATTTAAAAAGGAAGAAAGTGGAAGAAGGTGTTTTTGTTGCTTCCTGATTCCCTTTGTTTTGCATATTAGATTAAAACCTGCTAGAAGAATAGCCTTACAGTAGCGACGTGAAATCCAAGAAGACCAAGACAAGAAGACAATGCTAAGCTTACCCAAGAACTGCTCTGAAAAGGAATTCCAAGCGAGGCAGCAGTGAGGTACTTCTGCCCCAACATGAATTCATTGAACCAAGAATTTTGTACGATTTTGACCC